CCTGGATTTTTCCTGGATTTTCTGGGATTCCCCCCCCCATTTTCCTGGATTTTCTCCCATTTTCCTGGATTTTCCCTGGATTTCCCCTCATTTTTCTGGGATTTTCCCCCATTTTCCTGGATTTTCCCCCATTTTTCCTGGATTTTCTGGGATTTTTCCTCCATTTTACCAGGATTTTCTGGGATTTCCCCTTTTTTTTCCCCTGGATTTCCCCTAATTTCTCTGCATTTTCTGGGATTTTCTCTCATTTTTTCTGGATTTTCTGGGATTTCCCCCCTTTTTCCTGGATTTTCCGCATTTCTACTTGGATTTTTTTCCCTTTTTCCTGGATTTTCTGGCATTTTCCCCCATTTTTTGTGGATTTTCCTGGATTTTCCCCCAATTTCCTGGGATTTTCCCCCATGTTTCCTGGACTTTCCTGGGATTTCCCCCATTTTCCTGGATTTTCCCCCAATTTCTTGGGATTTCCTGGATTTCCCCCCATTTTTCCTGGATTTTGGGATCACAGCCCCTTCCTAGATTTTTCCTGGCTTTTCCCCAGATTTTCCCTGGATTTTCTGGCATTTTCCCCCATTTTTCCTGGATTTTCCCCCCATTTTTCCTGGATTTTCTGGGATTTTTCCCCATTTTTCCTGGATTTTCCCCCCATTTTCCCTGGATTTTCTGGGATTTTTCCCCATTTTTCCTGGATTTTCCCCCCATTTTCCCTGGATTTTCTGGGATTTTTCCCCATTTTTCCTGGATTTTCCCCCCATTTTCCCTGGATTTTCTGGGATTTTTCCCCATTTTTCCTGGATTATTTTCCTGGATTTTCCCCCAATTTCTTGGGATTTCCTGGATTTCCCCCCATTTTTCCTGGATTTTGGGATCACAGCCCCTTCCTAGATTTTTCCTGGCTTTTCCCCAGATTTTCCCTGGATTTTCTGGCATTTTCCCCCATTTTTCCTGGATTTTCCCCCCATTTTCCCTGGATTTTCTGGGATTTTTCCCCATTTTTCCTGGATTTTCCCCCCATTTTTCCTGGATTTTCTGGCATTTTTCCCTATTTTTCCTGGATTTTTGGGATCACTCCCCCTTCCTGCCCCTTCCTGGATTTTTCCCAGATTTTCCCCCCCATATTTTCCCATTTTCCCCCCGGATTTTCGGGATCCCAGCCAACCCCGCGTGGTTTTCCTCTTCCATCCCCAAATTCCCGACTTTTGTGGGATTTCTCCCAATTTCCACGCAGCTGCGGCAGAAATTCCTGAATTTTCACAGCTCTTCCCGCGATTCAGAGCTGCAAAACCCCCAGGGAATTCTCCCAGGGCTGGGAAAAAACCGGGAATTCGGAGGGAAAAATGGGAATTTTCGGGGGGAAAACCCAGGAATTGGGGGCTGAGGGTGGGAAATTCCCGTTTGGATCGGGGCTGGAATTTCCAGGAGGGGCGGGAATGGTTCAAATTCCAGCCTGGCAGGAGGGAGGGAGGGAATGAGATCCAGGAAAATTCCATGAGGGAGAAGCTTGGAATGTTCCCAGGGAAGCTTGGAATGTTCCCAGGGCCGGGCTGGAATTGCCCCGCAGGGATTGGAGGGGGAGGGGGAGGAGGGGAAGGGAATTTTCCGCCTTTGGAATCATCCCGGGGCTGCTCATCCCGAAAAAATGGGGCTGGAAAAAAAAAAAAATTGGTCCTGGTGGGAGGGGAGCTCCTGGGTCCTTCCCAAATTCCTGGGTCCTTCCCAAATTCCTGGGTCCATCCCAAATCCTTCCCAAATTCCTGGGTCCATCCCAAATCCTTCCCGAGCCCCTGGGTCCTTCCCAAATTCCTGGGTCCATCCCAAATTCCTGGGTCCTTCCCAAATTCCTGGGTCCTTCCCAAATTCCTGGGTCCTTCCCAAATTCCTGGGTCCTTCCCAAATTCCTGGGTCCATCCCAAATTCCTGGGTCCTTCCCGAGCCCCTGGGTCCTTCCCAAATTCCTGGGTCCTTCCCAAATTCCTGGGTCCTTCCCAAATTCCTGGGTCCTTCCCAAATTCCTGGGTCCATCCCAAATCCTTCCCAAATTCCTGGGTCCATCCCAAATCCTTCCCGAGCCCCTG